AAAAATGGATGGTTGGCGAGTGTTTTGGTGTAGTTGACTCCTTATTTTCTGTCAAACATCTAACATGAAATTTTATTTATTTTTAAAATTAAATTTTTAAATGACCTAATTGTGTTGCAAGTAACCGTAAAAAACAACAACAACCCAACAACTTAAACTGAACTGAAAGATTCCTTAACCGAGCTCCTCTCAGACCTTCACGGGTTCCATCCTGGTCGCCGTAAACCCATACAAGGAGATCAAGTGCTACGACCAGAAGGACGTAGAGGCGTACAGTGGGCAGAAGATCAGCGTTGTAGAGCCGCACGTGTTCGCTATAGCCGAGGCGGCTTACCAGAGCCTTGTCAGCAGCCAGCTCAACCAGAGCTGTATCATCAGTGGAGAGAGCGGCGCGGGAAAGGTGCGACTCTTTGTTTGTTTGTTTATTTGTATTTTTACTTGCTTGTCAACTAGTCCAACTATTTGTTTCTATGTGATGTCTGTCTGACTGTTGTAAGAACCGCATACTGTGCTCGCTGTACTAGAGCCTTGTCAGCAGTTGGCTCAACCAGAGCTGTATTATTAGTGGAGAGAGAGAGAGAGAGGCGCAGAAAAAGTGGGAAAATTATCTGTTTGTCTGTTTGTTTGTTTGTTTGTTTGTCTTTTTACTTGCATGTTCACTAGTCCAACTAATTGTTTGTATGCCTGTCTGTCTGTTGTAAGAACCGCGTAATGTGTTCGCTGTAGCCGATGTGGCATACCCGAGCCTTGTCAGCAGCCAGCTCAACCAGAGCTGTATCATTAGTGGAGAGAGCGGCGCCGGAGAGGTGCGATAATTTACTTGTCTGTTTGTTTGTTTGTAATTTGCTTGTTTATCTGTTGTTTTTCTATTCGTGTTGTTCGAATACCATCAAAGATACTACACCCTCGTAGGCTGTACTATCTTTGGTACCATGTGCGAGCGTTTTTTTTTCTTATTAAAATTTGTATTTAGAGGCATGTCTTTTTACCCTTGTTGGTCCCACTTATCACCCCGAGTACAACGTATTTCTGTATTTACCTCATTGGTTTTAGATATATATAGTATGCTGTGATTAAAATTTTGTAATGGGCTAGGAACATATGGACGAAAATCCAGACCCTCAAAGATTACATGGCATTCTGTGCCACCCTTCGAATTGTTGTTGTGAATTGCGGGGAAATACAAAATCTGAAGTCTGAAGCGCTGTTTTTCCTTCCCCCGTCTGTGGTGTAGCGGTAAGGCGCTTCACCGTTGCACGCACAGGGCGTAGGACTGCTTTCCGTGTGGGGAGGACTTTCTGCTTGGACTTTATGACCTTTGTAGCTCAGGTTGGCTCTGACAGGCAGTGTTCAAGCAGCCCGCTGCCCAAAAATCCCAAATAATGTCGACGGGGGCGTAAATGCCCCAACAATTTGTACACTGTTTTTCCAGCCTCGTGTGGTTTCCCCCCTTCTTTTTCGTCACAAGATTTCTTTCCCGTTTGTCTGTTTCAAATCTTCGTCCTTGTTTGTCCACCCCGTGATTTTGACAATTCGAAGCAAAACGTAACGTTTTTGTCCCATTGAATGGACTTTTCTGTTTTCTTTTTCTTTCTTTCTTTCTTTCTTTCTTTCTTTCTTTCTTTCTTTTTTCCGGGGGAAGGGCAGGGGGGGGGGTTCTTTTGTAGTCTTCTCTGCCTAATCCCTTTTCAGAATAACGTACTGTCATCCTTGTCCGCTTCGGGGCCCTTCTGTGGCAAGGAGGGGCTTTAGTTTATCTCAGCGAAAAGTATGTTTATTGTGTACAGCGTTTAGTTAAGACTTATTTTTACATTCCTCTTTCTTTCTTTGTTTTCTTTTCTTTTTTTCTTTTCTTTCTTTCTTTCTTTCTTTCTTTCTTTCTTTCTTTCTTTCTTTCTTTCTTT